TATAATATGGCTTTAGCCACAATAGTCTTCTATGATGGGTAGAACCTCCATTTCCAAGAGTACAAGATGGTCCATCCTCTATTGGCACAAAAATTGGCACAGCCTAGTGTCTACTTTCTAATATGGTACAACCTCCAGAGTATAATATGAATTCATCCTCCAGAGACTAATATGGTGTAGCATCAATATGAATTCAGCCTCTAGAGTCAAAGATGAAAATCAGAGTCTAAGATGGGTAAAGACCCCATGAGTCTTACGATAGTATAGCCTACAAATGAGATGGTATAGCCTCCAAAAGTCTAAGATGGTATAGTCTCCAGAGTCTAAGATGGTACAGCCACCAGAGTATAATATGAATTCAGCATCTAGACTAATATGATGTAACTTCAGAGTATAATACGGATTCAACCTGTAGAACCAAATATAGTACAGCCACAATAGTACCTGATTTCTATGACAGTCAGAGTCCAAGATAGGTACAGCCTCCAAGATTCTAAGATAGTACAGCCTATAAGAGTCTGAGTTGGTATAGCATCCAAGAGTCTAAGTGGGTATAGCCTCCAGAGTCTACAATGGGTATAGCCTTCAAGAGTCAAAGATGGTATAGCCTCCAGAGCCTTTGATGAGTTCTGAGAATAGCCTTCAAGAGAAGAGGGTACACTTTCCAGATGCAGTGTCTATGATGGGTAAAGCCTCTAAGAGTCTAAGATATTACAGCCTCTCCAGAGTCTATGATGGGTATAGTCTCCAAGAGTCTAAGATGGTACAGCCTCTAGAGGCTTAGAGGGTTTAGCCTTAAGTGTTTAATGGGTACATCCTCAATAGTCTACAATGGGTACAGCATCCATAATCTAAGATTCATACAGTTTACAAAGTCTAAGTTGGTACATCTTCTAGAGTCTAAGATATGTCTAGAATCGACATTTTGTCACATATAACACCAATCTGTGGTTAATAAATGGGTCTAAGATGGTACAGTCTCTAGAGTTTCAGAGGATTTAGCCTCTAATTTTTAATGGTACATCCTCCAGTGGGTACAGCATCCATAATCTAAGATTAATACAGCCTACAGAGTCTAAGTTTGTACATCTTCTAGATGTCAGGAATCACCATTTAGTCACATCTAACACCAATCTGTTATTAATAAATAGGTGTAAGATAGCACAGTCTCTAGAGTCTTAGAGGGTTTAGCCTTTAATGTTTAATGGGTACATCCTCCAGAGTCTACAGCATCCATAATCTAAGATCAATACAGCCTACAGAGTCTAAGTTGGTATATCTTCTAGAGTCTAAGATGTCAGGAATCACCATTTAGTCACATATAACACCAAGCTGTGATAAATAAATGGGTCTTAGATGGCACAGCCTCTAGAGTCTTAGAGGGTTTAGCCTCTAATGTTTAATGGGTATATCCTCCAAAGTCTACAATGGGCATAGCATCCATAATCTAAGATTGATACAGCCTACAGAGTCTAAGTTGGTACATCTTCTAAAGTCTTAGATGTTACATATAACACCAATATGTGATTAATAAATGGGTCAGGAAATGCTTTGACAGATTGATGGGCAGACGGACAAACAGAGCAGTATTATAACAAACAGCATTATTAGTTGTGTTAACACAGCAAATGCATATCAATATCATCCAAACTTGTATTTGTTAAAAAAGATTATACACTAAAACATTTCTTAAGGATGGATGTAATAAACAATTTGTTAAGGTATAGGATTGCCTGAAATGATCTCTACCCACATCCTATTTACATACATTATCTTGTGTTACTATGGCAACCAATTGACAAAACATGTTTAGACTCACCATACCAGATAATAACATATGTATCAATCTCTCAATGAGCCTTGTAAATATGATTCTGTAAACATGGAATTATTTTGAAATGTAATAACAAAAAGCGCCACGCCCACTTTGCGGTAAATCACTTCGTAGTTATCAAACATGAATAGAGTCCAAAGCCAAATATGTCAACCTATTCATAGATTACTAGTAATCATGTTATCTTGTTGTAAACACCTTCAATATGTATTAAGCTCAACTTTGCATTCATTTTGAAAAATTAAAAATGACAATCTACCATCCGTTTGTAGGGCCATGGTTGATTTATTCTTAATATTTTCAATATTTTGCAGTTAAATTGTGTTGCCATGGTAACCAATAGTCCAATCAAGATTAAACTTTCCATGACTACTAACCTAACATAGATGCATGATTTCTGAAAATTTGAATGTGATTGGAGGCACATTACAGAAAATATAAATGCTTATCATAGTACCCCTCATAAAATAAGATCAGGGGGTACAAATAGTGATTTTTACATGTTTTCCACTACTTAGATTTTTCTAGATTTTTGATATGTGTTTTAAGTCATCAATATGCATTTGTTGCACTAGGTTTGATTAGGTGTGCAATTTTTTCATTTATTTTTGATAATTTTACTGGAGTATCTTCCTAATTGCTTCAACCGTCAACAGCCAGCCAAGTACAACATGAATATCACACCCATCGAATGGTATACTCGAAATATGGAACTCATACCTCTTATTCCCATTATTGGGGAAATCGTCAGATGGCTCATCATTCCCGCCAGCCAGTTTTCCTACTCCGGAGCGTTTCTTTGTTTAATTTCAGTAATGAAACGCTCCGTCGTGCATGTAGGAGCGTTTGGGTTATACACCGTGGACTTGTAAGTTGCGTTTTTGAATTGCCCGCGGCGGTGGCGCATTGCGTAATACACGCCTAACCATCGACAACGTACAGTGACAAGATACCGTCGTACATTTTAGGTGTACGGTGTCACTATTAACTGATTTGAAGCGAAAACTATGATGTAGGTTTGATTGTGGTTTTCAAAAATTTGAGGAGTACATCAAGGATTTCATGTTTGATTTCGTGTGTATTCGATTTGGAAGACATTTACCTTTCTAATTACGTTAAAAGATTTACGAGCAGTGCTCGATTTTTTTCGTGGTTAATCTACCCATGCAATTGGTCGATTGGAAAACTGTGTTTTTTACACATTTCCTTTGATCATTTTCTCCCCTGTCGTCTTAGAGTGCCGAATATTTTTATGAGAATATGTTTCTCTAAATTACACAATTTAAGACGGTTGAAGGTTTTATAAATATTCATGTATTTGGTATAATTTAAAAAATCAAAAATGTACGTTGTCATCTCCAATGTACGTTGTCCCTGTAATTGAAATGTAAACAATGCAATGATTTAATTTCAAAACGCTTTAAGGGTTTTATGAGTAACAAGTGATGTTCAACGAACATGTTCATGTATCCCTGGTACAGAAAAACAGCTAAAAAGTGTTTTTTTACCTTTTGTTGAATGCTCGAAAATCTTTTCACGGAATTAGAAAGGTAAATGTCTTCCAAATCGAATACACACGAAATTAAACATGAAATCCCTTAAGTATTCCTCAGATTAATTTTTAAAACCTACACCACACCCACATCATCGTTTTTGCTTCACATCAGTTAGAATAGTGACACCGTACATCTAAAGCGTAAGTTACGACTGTATATTTTGTGACTGTACGTTGTCGATGGTTAGGCGTGTAATAGGTAATGAGATTTCCCACCAGGTATCAAGTAAAAGAACAAAAGGTCCCGTAGCGCAAATTACATGGTCGCATGTTTTCAAGAGAAAAACTCATCCGAGCGCACTAACACTCACATAATTCTTTTGAAAGACATCGCGGTTTAATGTGGTGCCAATATTGTGCTGTCAAATAACTACTTTTAAATCAAAAAGTTATTATTTTTTGAAATGAGACTTTGTATTTGAAGTATTTGAAGAGAAATATTAAGGAGTTTAGTCTGGCAATGTTTTTCACAACCTGAACGTGAATGGAAAATATTTAAACGATGCATTTGTATGGGCGATTGGTCAGACTTATAGGTTGGCGTTTCGATGCAAGCTTTAACTCCCTATTATCTCTTCAGAAAATAATTTGTTTTTCAGAAAAAGTAGGTCAAAAAAGGTCAAATTGAGGTCAACGTGGCCCATGGGTTAACATTTTTTACATTTTGCGAAATCCAGCAAATTGACCAAGTTTTCAAAATCATCGACTTGAAAATTGTACTCTTCCAGACCTAAGTAGGTAGTTTGTAATTTTGCTGACTTAAATTTGGATCCAAAATATCAATTTGAAAAATCAACTTTTTGACCTTTCGAAAGTCAGAGGACAGATTTGAAATTCTGAGAATTAAGGCGTGTAGATGATTTTGAAAAAATGGTCAATTTGCTTAATTTGCATAGCATGCCTGCGATTCTCTCACGCCGACCGCCAGACACATCCAGAAAAAGTTAGAGGCTGTGACAATACATGCAAGACAACACTTTTGGTGGTTACATAAAAAAATAGTAACGTCACGAAATACACCAATTATCAAAATTAGAAGCTAAGAGGATGTATCATATATCTGTATATATCATAATCTATCATATAATTCGATTAATTATCTAGTTTATAATCACGGTTCACAGCAGTTTTCTACAAAGTGGGATGGATCGTGCACATCGACACAGACTCGCGTCAATTTTGGAGAGAACCAAGCCACGGAAATATATTGCAAGTACCTGCTTTAGAGAACCTAGTGGAATCTTGTTATACTACACACGGTGACTCAAGGATTACAGTTAGTAAAGTAAAGTTTAACGTATACTATGTTATGTTCAATTTTAAATAATCTAAATACTTGTGAAATCATAATATACAAAAAATTTTCATGGCTTAAAAGTTGTTTGTGACATTGTTTCCAAAAATTTGACTTTCGGATAAAAATTGTTGATCTTAACACCATCTTAACAACTTGATATACAACATTGCCTCCTAACGATAACTTGAAATATCTAAAAGCAACTCTACATGATGATGTGGTTAGTTCATCGGTCAAAATATCATACAGGTCGTAGTTACATTACCCTGCGCGCAGAATGCAAATGGTATAGTTCTATACAGAATTCTGAAAATATGTTATATTACACTCATCTTTACATTGTTAGGTTTATGATTACATGTTGTCCAAAACATTCGACTTGAAATGCTTACAACCGCGTTGCCTGACTACGAAACCTCAACCAACTTTAACAGGACGACTGCAACAGTCCGAGATGATGGGCGTGTATTTCTACCTGTTTTCGGCCAGTCGGGAGTTTGGTTTTGGATAATACACATAGGAGGTGCTTCTAGTCTCTTTATCAGCATCTGTTTCAGTTTTGGTTTGGTCGTTTACCTTGGTGTGATGGGGAAACGTCGCAGTCGATCGTTTTGGCAATGGAAGTTACCAGAACGCTTGGTCATCTATCTCGCCCTTTGTGATCTTTTGTGGAGTATCTCCCATAGTATTGACCACTACATAATGATTACCCTGTACGACCATGTTCCCGACCTCCCGTGCACCATCCTCGGATTCCTTCTCAATGAGTTGATATTCATGCAGGCCATAGTCGTGATATTTACCGCCATAAGCGCGTTTGTATTAATCGTGAAAAACAAAAAATTGCAACTTGGAAAGTATGACTGGAGATTGCTGACTTCATCTATTGGGATTCCAGCTGGAATTGGATCTGTGTTAGTGCAATTTGACTTACTCGGTCCAAGTGGAGCATGGTAAGTCACCATATGTAAAAATCCTGATGTTTCTGATCCCAATACCCCTAAACATTCTTTCTAACGTTAACTAGCAATATTAAAGGCCCACTTTGCGTATTTTCAACGTTTTTGGCAAAATAAAAACTTACATTTTCATTTCATAGTATGTCCAATGTATTTATAAGAACCTTATCTTTCATTTGACACCAACAACAGCTCAAACGGACCACATCAAAGCTTACAATAAATTATCAAAAACATTTCGATCTATCAAGCTTTATATATCAAGTTTTTATCAAAGTCATTGAAAGATGGCAAAGTTGTTTGTATTACATGGTGCATTCATTTTTAAAGAAGTGTCGCCATCTTTTAATCAAGAGCAATTTAAAACATGCACTTTATTTAACATGTGCATGCACTACTGATAGCTACTATCTTAGACAGAATGTTTGAGTCGGCCATGGTCAATCTGTAAAATGAATTCATTAAATCCATTTAGGTGTTTGATTGATGGGCGGAACCCTCTCTCTGGGCTTGTTATGTCAGTTTTGTCCGTTGCTATGATCTTTACTTTCCTGTTTAATCTCGGATGTTACGCCGCAGTTGTCTTCACTGTGTGGAGGGTCACAAAAAACATCGCCGACTTTAACAGCGATGAGGCTGCAGCGAAGAAGAATTGCATCAAAACCACCAAAACGTTGGTGATTTTCGTCATTGCGTACGCTGGGCAGTGGTGGGCCTATACGTTCTACTCATTCTGGGCATTTGCAGAGCTCCCGCCCAAATGGTTGACACTCATGACAATAATATTCGCAAATATGGGTGGTGTTTTCAACTTTTTCGCCTACAGCAAGTTCCGTAAGTCACTAGTTGAAGGTGCTAGTACAAGCAGAATCAGTGAAAATATACAGAATCAATGACTGTTACAGCACAACAGTTACATGTACAGTGGTAGCACGATGACCATCGCAACCTGAGGCCCGGAATGCAGTCGTAAAAATATCAAAATAATGTTTCTTATTATGTTATGTCAACCACCCTTTTCCTGTGTAGGCGCATGAATTATGCAGACGTTGGGACAACTTAAAATACATAATAAATAAATTATCGCGTTAAAACCGTAAACTGTGCATGTTAAGACATTTATTACGGGAGTGGAATAGCATTATATTGGCATATGCGGCAAGGACGGGCGTGAAGATGTTACTCAACGCGACTGAAAGCTGCAATTGCCGTATCATGTGCACTTTTTACCAGAATGAAATAGGTCTGAGTACCTGCGATTATATGTTAATATTCAAACTCCAGGCAACATATTGGCCGTGTATACGAATTCACCAGCCAAGACCTAATAAACCATAAAGCCGTCAAAAGTATGTTTCAAGTGGTGCTTGTCGTAGCTTTATTAACGTTCATGATATAAAATCAAAAATTTATTAACTAGTACAACTGTCCACGCTCACTGGAGCCACTGGTCCATGGTCCTTATAATCACCTATGGGCTTAAACTCAACTTCCTCTTTTGAGTAGCCAAATGCCTGTGGACCCATATATTTCAATGCTTGTTCAGTGAGCAGCAATGGATGTGCTGGTATTCCTAAAACGGACACGCGTAGGCCATAGCGAACTTCCTCAGTCATAATAGGCTCGCCTGTCTCGGTATCCACTATACATATCAGGTCAGGGGTACACACTAACACCTGCAAATGAAACATCACATTTTTGCACACATTTTTTCCCGAGAATGGTATGTAACTATTACTCATGCTTTTAATGTTGTTTTAAGCTGCAGATCAAACATTTTCTATGATTGATGTATCAATATATATAGATAAGACTGGTGTCTTATAGGAGGATGTCGGCACGGAGTTAGTTCCCAGGGTTTCATTCCAATATTCTTCTTAATACATGTACCTATGTGCCGCCCCAAAGACCCACTTATGAGCATTTTTTCCATGTCAATTTCCTCTCAAGATTGAAGGTTTCCATGTTTAATTCCTCTGAGACTAATAAATGACTAAAAAATCAACTTCTCTAGTGATTTGTGTAAACCTCAGCAACTGATTTAATGAATTTAATACAATTTTCTGTAGTTTGACTTAAAAAGGGTACTTTCTTAGACAATTTTCATGTTTTTTTTCTCTTAGATTGGCCAATTTCCATGTTTTATGCTCAAAGCCAAAATTGACCGTGCTGCACATACCTCCAAATTATTTGGAGTGAACCCCCAGGGGTTCGTTTTAATTGATATTTTGTGTAAAATTTTACAATTACAATTACAAATCATTACAATTCATTTTACTAAATACATTTTTTCATAAATGTTTTGAATTTCTCGTTTATATATTGCTAGAAGGCTCTACTAGTTTATTGGTACGACTATACTAGCTACAAGCCATTGTGACAACCCCCCTCGCCACTACAACAAGGGCTGTACCTGTTTCTAGCAAGTCCTTACTAGACTCTCTGTGAGAAGGTGCTTCGTCAAGTAGAGGGGGGGGGGGTCACAGAAGCTTATACCTAGACTAGGTACGTACATGTATAGTTTACTTTATTTTGTTAAATATTGCAGTTCACAATAACATACCTCTTTCTGGCCATTTGGATGATGCATTGTAGCTACAAGATTTTCATTTTGGAACTTTATTATTAGTACTTCATCTTGGAACTCTGCTAACCCTAGGATCTTCAGCACTCCCCTGGTGAAACCTCCTTCATTCCGTCTCTCAACGTCTATTATCTGAAACATTTACAAAGTCAGGGACTCAATTATTCACTGAAAAACAGTGAATCTGTTCGTATTCCTAGAGTGTGACCGGTATACAGGCGCATGCACCAAAATTTTCAGAACATCTGAATACAAATAAAATCAATACAAAACCAAGATAACCAATAGAACAAGCTTAAATAAATAATGTAAACTACCTTCTAAAACATACATGACTGAGACCATGGAAAAATGGTCAATATAATGGTGTCACAAACCTTTCCTTTACAAAGACTTTTTCCATTCTCAAAGTCTAATATAGCTTGGAATGGGTCTTTCTTCTGTGCCCTGGCCTTCAGTACAGCATGCCCTAAACCCCAGGCCCTACTTGTTGAGTTCTGCACTGTCTTGTGAAGTATATCCTCTTTCTTTAATGGAGTGAATACAAAACCAGCTGAACACCTAAATTATAAGATTTCAGGTTGAAGAAGATCCATCTTAAATACTATGTGGGCCATAATTTGCCAACCCTTAAAAAATGTAAATTAGCCAAAAAGAATATTCCAATTAAAAGAGAAGGATGATTACCCCATTGCGACACAGACTCCTCTGAAGTGGTCCTCTACAAGTTTTGGAGATGGTGCTTCAATGATAACAGCCCTCTGTCCCTTATCATCAGCCAGTGTTGCAGGGTAGCAAGGCATACCATATATTGTAGGGGTAAACATCTAGTAGTAATTAGAGAATATATGTGAAGATGTCCGGGGCCAGAACGTCTATCAAGGTTTCTATTTTGCAAAGAAAGAACAAAATTGTAAAGCCTACTTGCAGTTCTGGAAAAGCACGGCCCATTCCATCGCAGTCTACCACTGGAATATCTAGCTCAGCCCCAATGATAAGCGGCTCTGTTGAATTCACACCTCCTATTTCAGCAGCCATTAGTGCAACTATATCCCCAGTGGAACCAGGTTTTAATTCTGTCATTCCATCAGGCTTATAATCATCTATGTATCGTACACCAGTTTCATTTGATTTTATGTCTACAATGTGTAGCAATTGTTGTAAAAGATTTAAATATTGTCCATTACTAATCTGTTATTTATTCAGTTTTAGGCTACACCTTTTCCCATGTGTGATGAGAAAAGAGAAGTACAGTAATACCTGTGTATGTGGAACACCTTTGGTATCTCTAAAAAGTGTTCCACTTTAGAGGTGTTCCACTTATAGAGGTTCATTTAACATTAGGTCAGTGTTCCACCTAACAAAGGTGTTCCACCTTTAGATGTGTTCCACTTCACAGGTTTCACTATATGCGTTATAATATCCACGGCATATGAAAATTGTTTTAAGACCAAGTAAAATATAATGAATTATATGGAAGCTTTATTGCATAATAAATGGTGTATCAAATAATTGTTTATATGTCATGTCATGAATACACAATATTACATATCTTGTTTATGCTTTGTTTTTAATAAGGAGAATATTTAATTAAATTGTTTACATTTATTTTTTATATATTCAATCGTATGTAAAAAATTACACAAATTAGTTGGCTCAGATAGTAGTTCCTTCAAGGTTCTCATTTTTAAAAAACAACAAGTCAAGTTGCAAATGTAAATGGTGTTAATTACCAGTATTGATCCAAATAAATGGAAATGGGCATTTGTTCAATAGCCAGTTATCATTTGGAGAAAAACTTTTTAAGGACTGACAGACTGACTGATGGATGACTAAGCCTTTCCTAAAACTTAGCATTATGTATTATCCTTACCTGCCTCTGGACATCTTGCTCCTTTGTTGTAGACATCCAACATGGCAGATATTGAAGCACATGTTTCCCCACCCTGCACCAGTTTCTCAATGATTATTGCAGGTGCTCCCATAAAAGCAACGGTTGTCACTAGACTCTTATCAGTCATTAGACTGGCACATCTCTCCGGAGATATCACACGTATAGTTTTACCATCTTTGAGCGCTTTCAAACTCCTTAGTTTCCCCATGTGTGGATTTCCCCCTCCACCACAGCCCAGAATCCCTGCTCCAATGCATATGCATTCTACATCCAGTTCACTCAAAACCCATTCTCCTGCAGGGTTTATTCTTGGAGAATATTCCAATATATTGGTGTGTTCAATGGTTGGGTTTAATAGTTCATCATATGACTGTTGAGTTGCTGGGATGTCACCACCCGACTCATCCTGAGAATACATAAAGGGACATTTTACAATGAAAGGTGATTTGCCCCAACTTAACCCTATGTACAACTTCATTATTAAACCTATGAAATGAACCTTTTGATTTGAATATGTGTATAAAAATCATGCTATTTCTTTTTTAAATTGCTATTACATGTGAAAAAGGTCTGTAGTTATGGAATATCCAAAATAGCTTAATTCACTATTATGAAACTCAGTTACAGTTCAAACCTTTGTTCTATCATTGGAGTCTGATTTTTGATCAGCCAGTGACGCCAGTTTATGTTGAGCAATCGAAGGATTATTATTGGCTCGTAAGTTTCCAATGGCTTTTACTTTAATCCGAGTTGCATTCCCAGGAAGATAAGCTAATCCTATTTCATCAACTTCACAAATCTGAAAAGATGGATTGTTCATTTAAAAATCATCAGTCTCTATGATGCATGTAATAATCTAGCTCAGGTAAGGACCCTACAAAAAGGAACTTGACAATAACCCATGAACCAGAATTTTCAGAAATATGCCTTGGACATACCTGTACTTGTAACTGACACTGTGATGAAGCTTGTAACTCTGATTGCATGCCTCTGACTAAAATTGAAGAGATGCATCCTCAAAGAAACTCAACTAAGTGTACCTACCTGAATAGTGTCTGTCTCAGCCCCAGCTTGTATTGCCAAATCACATGCCTGCTGCTTAGCTTGTGCTATAGCATCATCTCTTGTTGTTGAGGCCAAGTTGACCACTGTATCCACAGAACCTGACACCTGACTTAGCGCTGCCCCAATAGCATTGGCCACCTAGAATTAAGCAACATATACAGCTCCCAAATTGAAAGAAGAGTAACATATCATATACACGTAGCATAGGTGTAGCCAGGGGGCCCCCTCCCCACCTCTGTAACCAATAAAAAAAATAATACCATTAGAGAGAAGAAAATAGCTTTGAAATAATTTTTATATAAAACTTTTAGCTTAATTTTTAAGGAAGTGACATCAATTTTTGAAAAATTCAAAACAAATCTTAAAAACATCTTTTTCGGCTCACTTATGCCATGATCGCACCCCCTCCCACCTCCCGACTGAAAACCCAATTTTTTGGCGATTACACCCCCTCCCTGAATGAAAGTGTAACATGCATTATCATTACGGTTTAGTGCTGTCTTGATAATTTTCATTGAGAATAAAAGCCATACATAGAATGATACTTGCATTATTTATGTACAATCAAGTTATTGAAACCTGTGAAAGAATTGATACATCATTCAACTGGGTTCATTGATAACAATAATTACCAAAAATACAGATTTTTAATTACCTGGAAATGTGGGGGTTTCAGGATGTTATTACAGCCCTGTATATGTCTGTTTGTATCAACTAGTACGCTGCCACCTCCTACTAGAACAACTGTGACATCATCAGCACTAGTCTAGAACATAAACATCACATATATCTTGTTAACCAGCTCTGAAAAGGCGATGTAACTGCCTTACCAAAGTCCCTTTTCAAAACTGAAACTATGAAAATGCCGCTCCACTTCCAAGATGTTCCACTTCCAGAGTTGTTCCATTTTACAGGTATTACTGCATAATAATTATATGTAAGCTTGTATTATTATAGGGATATTTACAGTGAACAGTATCACAAACATGAAAGGTGTTTTGAAAATATAGAAAACAATTTCATGAACAATTTTACATGAAGTATGCTGCCAAGCGCCAATGGCATTAATGACTAGCATTATTTGTTTTAATTCCAGAAATGTTACACAAACACAGGTTTAGCAATTATAATCGTAAGAAGAGCATTTTGATTTTCAACTAACCTTACCTTGACTTGATCAATGGCGTCCTCAAGCATGCTATGTATCTTATCCAGACATTGTTTGGCTGTGACATCATTAACAGTTGCCTTGACCTTTGTGACATCACCAAGGGTCAAAAGGTCATTGGCGACAGCTATGTCAGTGGCAGTCAATATAGAACCGCCGAAAAGTAGACCTTCTGATTTGAGGTTATAGCCAACACTTTGAGGCCCTACTTGGGCAAACTAAAAATGAATGTAAAATGCATCAAAATGGCAAAAAGAAACACAGATATTTATCAGATATTATCAGATATTTATCTATTCATTTTTATTATTGATTCATTCACCAATATAATAGTTTTACTTTTACCTCTTTGTCCACTTTCACTTTTGAACCACCTCCAAGTCCAAAGCTGAATACATCTGGCATCCTGAAGTTTGTCCGAACCCCTGCTATCTTGACGTATGACGATGATTCTGTGGGGAAACCATTCTTTATCACCCCTACATCAGTAGATGTTCCTCCGATGTCTATTACAACAGCATCTTTCACACCTGTTTATAGTGTTAAACAAAACTATAGTAAAACCTGTATATACAAAATTATCAATTTTTCTTGGTCCAAATTATGTTCATATATTCAGGAACCTTAAAATGTATTAACACCTTCCAATCCGAACACATGACTGAACCTAGTTTCACTATGGGTTTCTTTGAACAAACAGTTAGAAATCACATTGATAATTACAATTTTAAAGCTAGCATGATACAAGCATGGGAAATGTTCTAAAAATAACAAATTAATATAAGGTTCTTCAAATTATAAAAATGAATATTTCATTTAAACTGCAAATGTAGTGTTTTTTAATCACCATCTTAAAGCTAGCCTTATATAAGCATAGGAATTGTTTGTAAAATAAAGCAAATTAGAAAACTAAATGTTTCATTTAAACTGCAAATGTAGTGTTTTTTCAATCACCATCTTAAAGCTAGCCTTATATAAGCATAGGAATTGTTTGTAAAATAAAGCAAATTAGAAAACTGAATGTTTCATTTAAACTGTAATTGTATTGTTTTTTTAATCACCATCTTAAAGCTAGCCTGATATAAGCACAGGAATTGTTCTAAAATGAAGCAAATTATAAAACTAAATGTTTCATTTAAACTGCAATTGTATTGTTTTTTTAATCACCATCTTAAAGCTAGCCTGATATAAGCATAGGAATTGTTCTAAAATAAAGCAAATTATAAATCTGAATGTTTCATTTAAACTGCAATTGTATTGTTTTTTAATCACCATCTTAAAAGCTAGCCTGATATAAGCACAGGAATTGTTCTAAAATAAAGCAAATTATAAAACTGAATGTTTCATTTAAACTGCAATTGTATTGTTTTTTAATCACCATCTTAAAGCTAGCCTGACATAAGCATAGGAATTGTTCTAAAATAAAGCAAATTATAAAACTGAATGTTTCATTTAAACTGCAATTGTATTGTTTTTTAATCACCATCTTAAAAGCTAGCCTGATATAAGCACAGGAATTGTTCTAAAATAAAGCAAATTATAAAACTGAATGTTTCATTTAAACTGCAATTGTATTGTTTTTTAATCACCATCTTAAAGCTAGCCTGACATAAGCATAGGAATTGTTCTAAAATAAAGCAAATTATAAAACTGAATGTTTCATTTAAACTAGTGCAACTGTATTGTTTTTTAATCACCATCTTAAAGCTAGCCTGATATAAGCATAGGAATTGTTCTAAAATAAAGCAAATTATAAAACTGAATGTTTCATTTAAACTAGTGCAACTGTATTGTTTTTTAATCACCATCTTAAAGCTAGCCTGATATAAGCACAGGAATTGTTCCAAAATAAAGCAAATTATAAAACTGAATATTTCACTGCAATTGTAGTGTTTCACAGTCATAAAGCACCTGAGATAAGCATTGGAAATGTTCAAGGTGAAACTTTTCAAAAAGATGATAGAACCTGAGAGGTGGGTGGCTCCTCTCATGCTGTTTGTAGTTCCAGAAGAGAATGTCAAAATGGGGTAATCCATGCACAAAGCGGAGCTGAAATATATATTACAGCAAGTGTCAATCTTTTAAAGTGATTTTCCTAAGCCTCTGTTCACAAAATTCTTAACTACGGTATGTTATAGGAATGTCACGGTTTCCCCATGCTGTCATGACCATTGGGATTTTGCTCCCAGGATGGTACGGGATGGACAATTTCCATCTCATCTCGTCCCAAAATGTTTTTGCCCCCTGACATCCCTACTATATTACATGTGTATTATATGTCTTTCCAATCTACCTGAGAGGTGGGTAGCTCCTCTCATACTGTTGGTTGCTCCAGAAGAGAATGTCAAAACTGGAGTTTCTAGGCTCACAGAGGAGCTGGAATATAACAAGTGTTGATCTTATCTTTTGTCTATGTATGGGTTCCTACATATCTAATAATAATATCCCAGGATAATGACATTTGCCCCAGCTTCTTTTATGACCAATCTCTATTTTCTTTACATGATCAAATATGTTTTTCTCTTGTCATTTTCCTTTATTCTCTCTCTAGAATGCCTATTTCCCAAGTGTTCCACATCATTTCCAGATCATAACCACCTACCTTATTATGGTGCCATCATTCTGAGTGAGAAAGAAAGGACACGTGAGGCCAAGGTTTTGAAGGGCTGCATCAAATGCGGCAATTGTCTTCCGACATAATGGTTTCAAACTTTCATTTAAGATGGCAGCACTTTCTCTCTCTAGGATGCCTAGCTTGCCCACCATGTGAGATTTTGTAATGCTCAGTTCAGGATAAGCCTCATGCAAGATTTCAGCAGTCTGAAACATGCATGTTGTGGTAATGAGGTCAAAATTTGAAAATTTACCTCATTTTGCCTCAATTTTCCAGGCCTATCAATTATTGCCTCGCCTAATTAAAATCTCAGATCTGGCTACACCCATTACTATATATGGCATCATAAAAATGCAAACTTACATTTTCTTCCTGTTGAGCATTGACACTGCAGAATATACCAGAGATAACAACATGTTTGATCTGCTTTCTCTTGAGGTCTCTGGCACATTGTTCAATCTCTTCATAATCCAGTGGGGAGATTTCAGTTCCATCAAACTGGTATCCTCCATTTAACATATAGATGTCACTTTGTAAAACCTATTAAACAAAAAAATACATACATTGGTTGAGTTTATTGACTTTTAGCATTTAGCCCAAACTTTGTAGTTACTGCAATTATGGTATGTGGATAAAATTCAAGGCAATGAGAAAGACAGTGACTAAAAATCAGTTTGAATTATGTACTTTGAATCAATGTTGCCAGCCAGTTCATTTGATATACAAATAATTGTATTACAAGGGATCAAAGCCTGGCTCATTAATCTAAACATACATGTAGCCTTGGATAATAATTTTTGAAAATAGTCACCATTTGTAAGATGTAAAAGTACATGTACACTGTAGGTACAATATGCAACAACTTACTTGTGATAATCCTGGAGGGAAATCACTGAAGGGCGGTAGGGCATGAGAGGCAGTTCCACAGAGTCTTATCACTGCTACTCTAGCAAGAGAATGACGCTGGATCACAGCATTAACGAAGTGTGTCGTTCCAATGTTCACTTGTGATACAGTGAATGTATGCTCTGAAAGATAATTTGTTGAAGGCATTCAATTCAAGCATCAGGACAAATGTCATTTCCAATAAGTGAAGTCAACAAATCAACAAACATTGTTTATACAGTACATGTATTTGTAATTGTAAACATACATGCATATTTGGCACATGCTATCTATCACAAGACTTATGACTGACACAACCGTCACCATGTTATGAAGTGTTTTTAAGTTGCGCAGGGATCATGCCATGACCGTGGCAGTGCTATATAACATTGCCACAGTCATATCAGGATTTAACATTACCACGGTCATGACAGGCCTTGCAATATAATATAGCATTGTCACGGTCATATCAGGCTTTATCATTACCATGGTCATGACAGGCCTTGCAATATAATATAACATTGTCACAGTTATACCAGGCTTTCACAATAACACACCACAGTCATGGCAGGATCCTTGCGCAACTTAAAACCACTAATAACATGGTGACGGTTGTGGCAGTCATAAGTCTTGCAATACATATACATGTATTCTCATATTTGGGACCATTTCCACTGGGGCAGCATCTTTTCCATTCAATCGAGATTGGGCCATGCAACCGAAGGAAAGCCATGCAATCGAAGGTAAGCCATACAACCGAATTTTGCAGATTCAATCTGACGGGGAATGCCGAGCCTCTCTTTTTGACCAATTACATGTAGAGACCTCCTCTTCACATTCGTGGTACCCTCGGCCAACTTCGTTTGCAAAGAAAATCTTCGGCAATCTTCAGCTTTTCTTGAGGTATCTTTGGTTGCTAGCAAAAATTCGACACCCCATTTCCACTAGTCTATAACTGTACATGTACAGTATGTTTACATATTATGGGAGTAATCTGTGAAAACCATTGCCATGTGTATGAGAGAAAAATGATCATGCAGATCTACTTGAGAGATGAGCAGAGGGATTTCTTTGTCAGAAAACAAGGCTAAGGGGTGGATATTGAAATGAACCCGGAAGTGCTGATTTAACAAAAATCAAGCATACTTGTCTATGTCTATGTCAATAATCTGCAAAAGGCTAATAAGCCCATATAAAGCAGATATATAATTTAACAGTGATAGAATTTGAATAGAATATGATTTAAAACCTTAACATTTAAAAATAGATCTATGGTTTACAACTCATTTTACCTGGGGAGACTGTCAGGCTAACCGCGTTGACATCACCCCCTTTTACCAGTAGTGCAGGCTTGTTGCTGTGCACTGGGGACCATTTACATTAAAACATAGATCTATATTAAAAACACACCTATTTAATTGCAGTTATTGACATAGGCATAGTATGATGATTTAAAACTATTTAGACTGTCACAGTCTAAGATGTCACCAGGTAGAGTGTTCCATTTAGCTATTGTCCTAGGGAAATAGCTAAATTTGTATGCATCCGTTCTAGCTGATGGTTGTATGAACTTAGAAGGATGATACAACCTAGTGTTGGTATTGATCTGTTGGCGGAAGTATGGAGGCACGTCGATGGCTGCTAGGTTCTGCTTTCCTTTGTAGAAAAGGAAAACTCTAGCAGCCTCTCGACGCTCCTTCAGTGGCTCCCACTGTAGGTCTTGAAGAGCTTTGGTGACGCAGCCTGGTTCCCTTGAGTGACATTTGGTTACAAACCTGGCTGCTCTTCTCTGTACCTGTTCCAACATATCAATATCTTTTTGTCGGTATGGATCCCATGCCGAGCTGGCATACTCTAAATTAGGCCGGACTAGTGACTTATACGCCTGAGCCTTCACTTTTTCAGGGCATTGATGGAGGTTGCGCCTGAGAAATCCAAGCCTTTGCATCGTCTATTGCGAGTAGCAGTGCCTCTGAGACCCCACTTGTGACATCCTGGGTAGTGTATGTCTTTGCAGAACCTATAACTGTTCGATTGTGAAGGATGGCAGCGTCTGTATTTGTCCCTCCAACATCCACGCCAATTTGAACTTCTTTTGACTGCATTTTGTTATTGTCGTAAAATGGACGCAGACACTACTACCGAGAGTGAATAAGAAAGTCGTAAATAGACATGTGGATTATTGTTATTATCGCCCTCAATTTGTTTTCATATTGATTTTCTCACATTTTCCCCTATATAACCATCATATCGTGAAGGATTACATCCATGTACAATGGTAAGACAGCGAGGAACAGCAGCAAGCAAACATGAAGCTAGAGAAGTTGATAAAAACATAGAAGAAGAAGTGAAAGTAAAAACTGCAAATAAACATTTGGTAATTTTTTTTATAAATCTCATGCATGCTTACTTTTGTAAGGGGGGGGGGGACGGGCTATTGTAATGACTCTTGACAGGATGTCTCTGCTACAGTCTCTGCAGTCGCTACTATAGTCTCTCTGCTGTAGTGGCTAGCATTATTGCTGAATCAGCCTTAGCCTTGAAGAAGGCTTTAGCAGTTGATTTTTAAAATTTGGATATTTTTTTCCAAATGTAAAGCCATGTATCATCTCCATTGGAAAACCCTCGATTTCACATCCAATAAATTACATGTAATTCGTAAGATAAATACTACTCACTATGTCATATTTCGATGCTCAACTCAAAGAATACCACTGTTTCTACCGTCCTGCTATGTCAAAGTATATCCTAAGTAATGACTAGAGTCATAAAATGAATGTAATTTATTGGATGTGAGATCGAGGGTTTTCCAATGGAGATGATACAAGGCTTTACATTTGGAAAAAAATATCCAAATTTTAAAAATCAACAAATGCTAAAGCCTTCTTCAAGGCTAAATCAGCCTGGGTTGGTTGCCCGGGGGGTTCACTGTATATAAAACTCGACGGGGGTCTTAGGCTGAAGCCTCAAATATCAATATGTTCCCATACCAATCTGTCAAATTTCAATATGTTCCCATACCAACCAAAATAACGCCCAAAGGCCATACCAAATGTCCAAATATAGGACCAATGCAATACCAAATGTCCAAATATAGGATCAATGCCATACCAATTGGCCAATTATGGGACCAATGCCATACCAAATGTCCAAATATGGGACCAATGCCATACCTTAATTCAAAGTAAATGAAATATAGGATCAATGTCATACAAATTTGCAACTACTGGACCAATGCCATACCACGGATGTTAGGTAACGTATCTACAACAACCATTCTCATACCAGAAGAGCAAAAGTCCGACCATTGTCAGAAATTTCCGGGCATTCCCATACCAAATCCTAAAATATGGGTCCATTGCCATACCAAACGTTGAAAAAGGTACCCCACATGCACCGAGGATCCCCGTCAAGGTTTATATATAGTGAACCCCCCGGGGTTGGTTGGTTGGTCCATAGGTCCAGTTGAAAGCCCATAGTTGACCTTGCTTCCGAGCAGATCCAGCAGAAGTTCAGATTTATGTTTGATTCCATCACTGGGCCTTGAATTCAGCACACTCCCTTTCAGACAGATGTAGTATCTACCTCGTTACAAATCAGCTGCTCGGATGAGTGACGATGGGTTGTTACAGGTGTGTCAGAAGTGTGATTGCCCTTGTGAATCACTTACGATTGGACCTTCAGGAATGATGGTGTAATGACCCTCTATAGCAAGTTGCTGCTATCATCTCTACTGTAGTGGCTAGCCCTTATGGCTATATTGGTAGAGCATCAGTCTTGCGAGTGGAAGGTCCTGTCTTTGATTCCTGCACTTGGCATTGAATTTAGCACACTCCCTTTCAGGTCTAGTATCTGGCTCATTCCACTACAGCTCCCCCGACGAGTGCCCATGGCCATAACACTATTATAACTACATATTTAGACAAACTAGGCTAATGTTTTATTGAACCAACAGTACTTTAATCTGGATGCATTTAATATTATATAAAATTATCTGCATCAAACAGGTTTGCTTTTTTCTTGTTCAATATTTCGCGCATTGGCTAAAATGAATACACCTTCTTCTCATCACTGTCATACAGAGTCACTTTTTCTGTATGTATAAAGTTGCTAAACATACAATCATTTCATCTGTGCATGTAGTTGTCTGTATATGCACAATGTAGATGTACACTGTACAGTCACTTTACAGTCAGATTCATAATTCCTTATCTTTAAATTTAAAAAATGAGCAATTGAAAAACCACATTGCAATGGTTAATTTGAAAAAAAGAAACATATACAAGGCTTAACTGTTGTATATTTTAGATCGTAAGATGATAATGTGCAACAAAGCTATGGCCTTTTGTAATTTATGGAGTTTCAGCCATATTTATTTTGTAGTCACTCAATATTCACACTTGTACATGTATAGTCACTTAGTTATTTCACCTGTGACAAAGCTGTTTCAATTTCAGAACACATGAAATTGAATAATACTATTACATTACTGTACAGAGTTTCTGATTTCTTTTGTATTATATTTTGTCTATTCATTTTCTAGTCAAGGATCCCTACAAAACCTGGAGTAAGTTTAAGACAGCGTTGTTTTACATTCGCAAAGTATGCTTTACTACTTTCCATTCTGCCGCCATTCCTCAATTTTGCTGCTTTGCATAAAGAGGGTCAGCAGCTCAAGCCACAGACAGGTGAGAACCCAAATATTTTCAGTATTATGAATACAAATACAAGTGAATAAACAGTTCCCCATTGATTACTTATTTCATTTATTGCTGCAAAAATTCTTATTAAAAAAGCATAAAAAGCATTTGGGCTAAGCTTTCCTTTTTACAGTGTATATTAGAATTTCTGATGAAATATGTAAAACTGACAATTGTAATTGTGAAAGGCCCAACTATAAATAGATGAACAATTGCACTAATCTTTTCTAAAAATCTAAGTACAATGATTTTTTTTTTCAGAATTTTCATTTGCATATTACACATTTGATTTTACATCACAATAGACCAATCATTATCCAGGAAATGCCATCTTGTGGAAGAAATGCAATCTTACAGTTTCAGCACTGTGCTATTATACTGTATATGTTTCAAGATGTGAAAATATACATGTTACAATATACAATTTCAGGAGAGTTGTATGACATAGGTTTTGGTCAGAAAATGTACCTAGGGTGCCTAGGACAGGGTGCTCCTACAGTGATACTTGATGCCCCAACTGGTATGTCTTCAGATGTCTGGCTACAAGTGCAACTCAAACTGGCCAAGTACACAAAGGTAAACTATTATAACAGATTCAAAAAACTTGGCCAAGTACACAAAGGTACAATATTATAACAGACTTAAACTAATCATTTTAAAAGACTTACTGGCAAACTAATCATTGTTTCTATTAAATGTGTGTATTTATGACCGTGCTGGTCTAGGATTAGACACACAAAACATTGTTTCTATTAAATGTGTGTATTTATGACCGCCCTGGTCTAGGATTTGACACAAAACGTTGTTTCTATTAAATGTGTGTGTTTATGACCATTCTGGTCTAGGATTTGACACAAAATGTTGTTTCTATTGAAGGTGTGTGTTTATGACCATTCTGGTCTAGGATTTGACACAAAACGTTGTTTCTATTAAATGTGTGTGTTTATGACCATTCTGGTCTAGGATTTGACACAAAACATTGTTTCTATTGAAGGTGTGTGTTTATGACCATTCTGGTCTAGGATTTGACACAAAACGTTGTTTCTTTTAAAGGTGAGTGTTTATGACCATTCTGGTCTAGGATTTGACACAAAACGTTGTTTCTATTGAAGGTGTGTGTTTATGACCGCGCAGGGCTGGGATTCAGTGAGAGGCCATACAGGAATGAATCAGCACAGGAGGGCACTGATAATGACAATCCTACACAGTTATTCTCTAAGGGCAGTGAAAGATGGCAGCACTATACAGTAGAGAGGTAAAGTTGTCCATAGGTGATTAAAATATTATGAAGTTCAAAAGTAAGCCTTTATTTTGCCAAAGAATGCTGAAAATATGCATAGAGTCCCTTTTAAAGGGGCCACTACTTTTCTCATTTTAGCCGTATTAGAAGTTTTTACTCCACTATGTCATTACTAGTTTTGAATGAGAATGATAACTGTCTATAATCCCTTGCCATACCATACCTGGTCATTTTATGTAAACTGCTTACCAGTGTCACTGATAGAGGACTCTGTTTGTAGGATGGCTGATGATCTCCATCGCTTAGTAACAGGTAGCAGCGATCAACCCAGACCCTTCATACTTGTTGGGGCAGAAATGGGGGCACTTGTCTCAAGGTTCTATGCAAATATGTTCCAAGGGTAAGTCATGTTGAATTTTTGGTACTAATATTTACTCAAATGAACTTGAACCCAGTAAAGTTTCAAATCAGCCTCAGCAGGTCAGCTTCAGTGGTTTTCTGAAGAGCCATTGGTTCAGAGCTGTGGAGGAACTTTATCAACAAATAGTAATCATTGTATTTTTATTGTAAATAAATAGATGTCTCGCATAAGCTTCACAGCTAACAAATAACATGGATATTTTTTATTTATTTAACATTTAAGACACAATTACTTATTTAGAGATGCATTTGTTCATTCATTGTGACTCATCTTGATATGAAATGAGTGAATCTAGACTTCAATTCATGACTGACATTTAGTGAGTAGATGTTTGTATTATTGTTTATTACAGAGAGGTGTCCGACCTTGTATTGATTGAGCCACTAGTAGAGACAATATTTATGGAGGATGACGGCATCTGGACACAGTTCTGGTACATATTTCATAAAACCTTTAAATTTCTCTTTGCTTTTTACTCAAGGGGCGAGGAGGAAAATTCTCAATAAATGGTGTATAGTTGGTTTGGCAGCATTTTCAGTTAGGGGAGAGTCTTGGATGAAACTTCCACCTAGGTGATAGCTTCACAGAGTGGTAGGAAGTTCTTTTTTTCAAGGAGTTAGCCCCCCACCCTCCAAAAACACCCCACCCTGGGGAAAAAATTGTTCACAGTAAATAACCTTAGATATTTTGATGTTTGTAAGTGACATACATAGATATTACATATATGAATCACTTGCAGTATAATTGATGCTGATTGCTCCTAAAGAAATTGAATATTAGTACAAAGTGTGTATCCCAGGGGGCAAATTCGTGACTCATTTTCTTACTATTTTGATCCTAACTTTTCAATTAGACACTGTAAAAGTTCGAAAAAATTCATGGGAAGTGCCCAATAGCAAGGTTAGTAAAACTGAAAGTTGCAAAGCCATTGAAAAGGTAGGAGCTGAGAAAAAAATTGTTGATTTTTCGAAAAATTTGACATTTTTGACAGTTGGATTTTGTGTATGACTATAGCTGACCCCTATAGTTTCTAGATCCATCCCTCTATAATGATATTTATGGTTTTATAGTGTGGAACTAAGATGTTAAACATAATTTAGATGGGTTTTAAGGAAGTTAAAGGTTTTAAACAAGTCCAAAATTTGAAAAATTGTAAATATAAGGTTTCAAATTTACATATTCCAGGTATAGCCATGGCTGACCCCTATAGTTTCTAGCTCCATTCCTCTGTGATGGTATTTATGGTTTTGCCATGTGGAACTAATATGTAAAACACAATTTAGATGGGTTTTAAGAAAGTTTAAGGTTTTAAACAAGTCCAAAATTTGAAAAATTGTGAATATAAGGTTTCAAATTTACGAATTTCAGGTATAGCCACGGCTGACCCTTATGATTTTTACATCCATACCTCTATGATTAAATATACAGTTTTAGAGTGTGGGACTAAGATTTAACATATCCAAAATGAATTTTAAGGACGTTTAAGGTTTTAAACAAGTCCAAAATTTGAAGTATTGTAAATGTTAGGTTTCAAATTTATGAATTTCAGGTATAGCCAAAGATGACCCTTATGGTTTTTACATCTATACCTCAGGGATGAAATATATAGTTTAAGAGTATTTAACTAAAATGTAAAAGATACCTGAGATGAGTTTGAAGGAAGTTCAAGGTTTTAAACAAGTGCAAAATTTGAAAAATTGATCTCAAAATTGGTCTCAAATTCACGTTATTCAGGTACAGCCTTGAATGAGCCCTGATAATCGAAGGTTATGAGCATAATAGTATCAACTATGATATCATAGCTTAGAGACCAGGTGTAGAATATATACCTGTTGCAGCAGTTAGTCTGCTGCATATAGATGGAGTGAAAAGTCGTGAACTACAGTAAAATCTCTCTAATCTGAATGCTACTGGTATTTGGACCAGCTAAAAGCATTCTAATTAGGAGTGTCTGAATTTTGAGGTTTTTACATCTACAATACAAGTTCTGGATTTTGAAGAAACATGAATGCATTCTCAATGAAAAATATTAACAATATTTATACTGACCACATAAAAAGCTTAATAGCATTCCAAAATCCAATTCAAAAGTTTTGATATCATAACAATTCAGTGTTAAACTGACAATATTTGAGCAATTTTTTAAGAAATATGTGATATTTGGTAAAAAGAGTTCAAGTTAGACAGGTTAATTTTTCAATTAGATATGATGATTGGTAGGTATTCACAATAGTCAGATGTTGGGATATACAGGTTTCACTGATGATATATCATTTATACAAGATGATGAACTAGAACTACTGTACTAGTTCATCATCTAGTACAGTAGAATGCACCTAGTACTACTGTACTAGGTGCATTTGATAATTTTTACCACAATGTTAATACTATGTCAGGAAAAGAAAGCACCCATGACACTTTGCTTGTACAACTTGAAAATCAACAACACTTTAAGATTTCATAAGGTGTCTACCAAATGAGTAATCCACATAAATTCAAATACAAGCACTTGGCATGCTATTCCCTATGATGCTATTTATAGATTTTTTGTCAATGTTATTGATCAGCTTATTGGTTTCATTACTTTCTCTAGAATCTAAAATTGACCTTGGGTTTATGAGAGTGGTAAATTGGAATGCAGTTATATGAAGTATTGAATTGGCTGGAATTGGACACAAGTTGCCTAGCTATGTGTGTGTAAACTATGATCTTATGTGGATACAAACAGTTTGTTTGACAATGATCATCTATCTAACTGTAAAATCAGAACTTAAAAAGGGGTTTGAAATGGAGATCGATGAAACCATACCACAAATTGATAAAACTTTCATGATTGATGCAATGGCTATGACAAAAGGAAAATTAAGATTAACTTATATGTTGAAATTTGGAGAGTTTTGGAAAGCTATATTTGACTACTCCATCAAATCTAGTAAATGAGCCCAAAGAATAGATTTCATATTAGACTCCTAGTAGTCTCCATCAGTAAAGGATTCTGAAAGAATGCGAAGAATGGATGCTTCCCCTACTGAACTTTAATCCAAAGATGAAATTACACCATTGCCTAAAAATATGAATACCTTTTGGCCAAGTCATATAATACAAATTTTCAAAGATTACAAAGAAATTTAATAAAGCAGCATTCTAAAAGTGTGCCAAATGTCAAGATTGTTTTAAGTGGAACTATTGGAGAGAACTTAAATATCTGTGAAAATGATAACTGAAATCCCCTGTTAAATTCTACTCTTGAAGAGGCTGATTTTAAACTTATTCACTCTGTTTTACATTCAGCAGGAGAACATGTGGGACCGCAGTAATTTGCATCAAATGACACTGATATTCTAATTTTATGACTATCATTTCAATAAATGTAAAAAATTCTTCAACTGCTAGAAAACGTCATCTGCAAAGTCAGTATGTAAAAATTTTCTACAATGCCTGTTTGTTTAATACATATTGATCGATCATATATATCACCATATATACTTTTTTGATCTACATGAAGATTTTAGTGTGACAAGACCCTTTCACCCTGGAGTTCCTAATCTCATTGCACTAACGGGAGTTTCTAGGCCCAGCGGGGTATGATCCTTATAATCCTTGTTTTCCCAAATAATTACTGTTGCCTGATGACAAGTTGTTTTATTGGGAGTGTAGTGATTATAATTTGATAATTTATAATAATATTTTGTATTAGAAGATGATCATTGCTTAATTACAGTATGGGCATAACAAAATATAGAGAAATCATGTTTCTTTTAATTAACCATGTCTTTATGTATTTTGACAATGTAGAACATTACATCAAACATGTTGATGTGAAAAAGTAAAAATGCTATATCACATAATAAATATCATCAAATAATAATAAATTAGTTATAATCCATTTAACCAATCAATTACTACACTGTATACGATATCCCTAGGAACAGTTACACTTTAGGGGGGGGGGGGATTTATTAACCTCTCACCCCCTTAGGAACTCTAGGGTAAGGTCCTCAACTCTAAGGAATTTTTCTTTTAACAATACTTGTAACATGGATCAAACCTGACCACAATAATTTCAACATCTAATTTCTAAGCTAAAAAGTCTTACATTCAAAAAAGAGACATCCAAGGCAATACCTAAAATCGAAAAGGAGGACTGAAAGTATCACAACAGATTTAGGATAGTCACATGTTGGATTTTTGCTATTTTCTGAGGATTTGAGGAGGTGCATATGTTAGGCCAATGCATTTCCTCCAGGAAAAGCACTCATAGAGATGATAAAATAATTTCTATTTGAGACAGCATGCAAACAACCCACCCACATGCATCAATATGTTGTGTTTTGACACACAGTTAACCCCTTTAAAGAAATAATGCATTCCATCAGGGGTTTAAAAGATCAAATATGGGTGACCAAAATTAAGCTGAAAGTAATGGAGCACATGAGTTTTCCCTATGGGAAAATAACAGGAAAATATTGTTTTCTGCTTTATCTAAAAAAAATTTATTATTCCTTTTTATGGGTTAACTTTGTCTCAAAACGCAACATATTGATGCAACAAAAATTGAAAAAGCATGGGTGAAAGGGCTTGAAAATCAGGACAATATTTTCGAAAAAAACATGTGGGTGGATTGTTTGCACCTTCGCTGTCTCAAAGTCCAAACTATTTTATCACCTCTAAGAGTTCTTTTCCTGTAGGTAATGCAATGGCCTATCATATGCACCTGCTTAAATCCTCGGGAAACAGACAAAATGTCACATATGACTGTCTGAAATATGTTGCGATACTTTCCGTGCTCCTTTGAGACCTGATACTTCTCAATTTTTAAACATTGCACTTGTTAAAATTCTTAAACTTCGTTAAAATTCATCTTTGGTATGTTTTTTACTTCTTAGTTTCACACTCTAAAAATATATGTTTCATCATAGAGGTATGGATGAAAAAGCCATAAGGGTCATCATCCATGGCTATACCCAACATTCGTAATTTTGAAACCTTATATTTACAATTTTTCAAATTTTGGACTTGTTTAAAATCTTTAACTTCCTTAAAACCATCTAAATTATGTTCTACATCTTTAGTTCCATACTACAAAACCATAAATATCACCAAAGAGGGATGGATTTAGAAACTATAGGGGTCAGCCATGGCTATACCTGGAATTCGTAAATTTGAAACCTTATATTTACATTTTTTCAAATATTGGACTTGTTTAAAACCTTTAACTTCCTTAAAACCCATCTAAATTATGTTTTACATCTTAGTTCCATATTATAAAACCATAAGTATCATCATAGAGGGATGGATCTAGAAACTATAGGGGTCAGCCATGGCTATACCTGGAATTCGTAAATTTGAAACCTTATATTTACAATTTTTCAAATTTTGGACTTGTTTAAAACCTTTAACTTCCTTAAAACCCATCTAAATTATGTTTTTCATCTTAGTTTCACACTATAAAACCATAAATATCATCATAGAGGGATGGATCTAGAAGTTATAAGGGTCAGCTATAGTCATACACAAAATCCAGCTGTCAAAAATGTCAAATTTTTCGAAAAATCAACAATTTTTTTCTCAGCTCCTACCCCTTCCATGGCTTTGCATCTTTCAGGGTTTCTAACCCTGCTATTGGGCACTTCACATGAATTTTTCCAACCTCTTACAGTGTCTAATTGAAAAGTTAGAATCAAAATAGTAAGAAAATGAGTCACGAATTTGCCCCCTGGGGTACATACTTTGTACTAATTTTCAAATTCTTTAGGAGTTATCAGCATCAATTATACTGCAAGTGATTCATATATATAATATCTATGTATGTCACTTACAAACATCAAAATATCTAAGGTTATTTACTGTGAACAATTTTTTTCCCCGGGTGGGGTGTTTTTGGGGGGTGGGGGGCTAACTCCTCAAAAAAAAGAACTTCCTACCACTCTGCGAAGCCATCACCTAGGTGGAAGTTTCATCCAAGACTCTCCCCTAACTGAAAATGCTGCCAAACCAACTATACACCATTTATTGAGAATTTTCCTCCTCGCCCCTTGAGTATTTGTGAATTGGAAACTTTATTATTAAAGGCATGTTACATTCAGTGTCTTTTTATGTAGAATCATGTTAGTTTATGGATTTAATATACATGTTCTGCAATCTCATTTTCATTCTTTTGATGTTCATACTTCTGTATTTTATCGTATTTTGAAAAAGCTGTATATTGCCATCAATTGGTGCTGATGAGATGGCTCCACAAAAAGTGTGATATTTATCTCCGTGTCTTGTTCAAAAGTTAAGTAGTTTTATCTGAAGGGGAGGGGGTTAGGAATAGTGAAATACTGTTATATAGTGAATGATTGTTGTTCTAGGTTTGGTCACCTGATACCATGGCAACAGTCCCTTCAGCTGGCTGCAGCTACAGGTCTAACAAGATTCGCTCTTCTGCTAGGCCTGATGGAGCAGCCACTCGCTGGAGCCAACCAGACCATGGAGCAGATAGCAAGACAGGTTTGGAAATTTAGTTTCTATTCTTATTTTTCACGATATTATGGAGTCAAGAGATTGTTTATGAATTTGAAAAACAAGTATCTTGCCTAAGTTCACTTATCAGGTTTGGAAATGGTTTAATATTCAAACCTCTGCAGATATAAAGTTAGGAAGCGCCAGTGATTTCAAATATGCTTTCAGTTTTGGAATCCGACCTGTAGGTGACCCTGAAAAGGTCAAAAGGTAAAATCACTCAAATTGTTGTACCATTGTTTTAAGTGGTACCATTGTTTTACACTTGATATACATAGAGTAAATTGACCCATTGGCACTCAAAATGGTTAAGAATATATCAAGGATGGAAATGTTTTCTTCACATACATAAGGGTGACATCTATATTTACTGCTTGTCATACACCCTCCATTGTGTGGTCGAATAGATGGATTAATACAGAAGGGACCGACAGACTCATTGAAATAAAATGTCTTGTTGGTATAGAATTTCTTTAAACCTAGAAACCTCTCTATTTCTTGCATGGCCAAAGTTGGCTGACTCGGTAAAAATGTGTTTTCCATAATAAGAAATTGATTCCTTAGGAAGTATTTCAAGTATCTATCCAGTAGTTTGTAATGATATCTTCGAATGATTTTTCTTTTGAATACTTTCCATGTGCTTTACTTTGCAGATAACCAGATATTACTCTCCTTACAGGGTCACAAACAAGTAAAATCAGCTTAAGTTCAGGGTTCATTCTCTAAATGTCATAGGGGTCAGCTTTGCTGGGGCTTTTTCAGTTCTTAGCAATATATTTGTCTTTGGCAGTGTATTACTGTTTTTTCCACATATATGTTCCGCGATGTGCATTCCTGTTCATCTGAGTAATATCTCTTGGCAGTGTAAAAAAATTATTATAAATTTAATTCTTGAATTTATAGCAACTACTTCCAGTTCTCAATTAAATGGCTATATAGAGTATAATTTAAGATTATTTGTAGTACTACATATATACATTTGGCATCATCAATTTGATGGGTATTGTAACTTGTAAGTAGAAGTGCCTTCAATTTGTATTGAAACAGTTTAACATGTAAAACAAATTTATCACTATAACATTGGACTATCTATATAAAAAGCATAAGTAGGGTAATTGTGTGAAGTTTGGTCCGATTTAGAGGTCCTACACCCATAATGCCTTCCGTATGTAAGACAAAGAAGCTTTGCCCAAGAACAGATTTTCAAGATGGGTGTCTCAAAATGGCCACCATTTTTGTAAAAATATGTAATCTTTGATTACTTAAACACTATTTGACAGAATTGGTTCAAATTTTATATGTCTAGGGATGAACAAGCTCTGCTTGAGAAGGAATTTTTAAGATGGCAGCTGAATTTCAAAATGGCCACCATCTTTCAGTAAAAGGACATAATGTTTGATGACTCAAATACCAGAAAACAGATTTGGTTCATGTGAATGCATTGTTATTTTTGTTATTGTTATTTCCAATTTCTAATATTTATTGATTTGTATTCCTAAATTAAGTACAATAAAATGTATGTGTTTACATTAAATGTATATTTGAATAGAGAGTTATCAATATTTGCATTCATTCAAATTTATGTATTATTACACTATGTATTACATTGGGGTATTATTACATTATGTATTACATTGGCGTGTCCATTTCTCTAATAGATTTCCACTTCCTATTTATTCTCCGGAGCACCTTCATAAATCTGCAAGCAAGAATTTGAAACAGATATTTTATATGAATGTCATGAACGTAGTGCTATTTTATGAGTAGTACACCACCATATGGAAATACGAGTTGAGTGAAGTGAAAAATGTTGGTATTCAGGGGGTCTTGTAGCCTTGCCCAAGATGGTATTTCTTTACTTATCTGATCTTGAAATAGAAATCAAGATAAGTAAAAGAGACCGACTTGGGCAAGGCTAGGGATCTTGTTTTTTTAAGTTTGGTTTAAATTTGGAGTGTATTTTCAACCATCTGGTATGTCTGTGCGTACCAGGCATACTGGGCACTACGCCTATGAGTGTGTAAGGCATATGAATGAATTGCCATTTTAACCTCTTGGGAGCAGAGTGCTTTTTCATCTTTTGATGTTTAATCTTCTAATACCATGTGATGTCCAATATAGAAAGCTAAGTAAACATACATGTAGGCCCGTTTTTATTAAATAAAAAATTCCATATATCATAAATTAACCCCTCTGATTTAGATTCATATTTACCTCACTGATGTAATCACGTGGCCAGTTTGATTTTTTAATCCACACTCTTGGCTTGTTACGACAATGTTTCTACAGCAGTCAAAATCTGTGTTGTGAGTTGTCATCACATAACCCTCACCACCGTACTCATGAATGTAGAATTTCCTTATTGCTTAAAGAAATAGTTAAAATATTATTGTTTCAGATGTAATTTTTTTGTCACCACAACAAGTGATGACATATTCTTATAGTCCTTTTTTTGTGGATGATGTTTGGTGGTTGGTATGTGGCAGTTGGTGTTTGGCATTCAATGGTTGGCATCTGTTACAAATGACAGGTGGTGACAAATGTTCCTTTGCTGTCCTCTATGATTAAAAATGATATATTATAAGGATGTTCTCAGTTTTGTTCTAATTTATTTGTCCAACCCAGGTGCCCTTCATGGACATCCTTTGACCTCACATACCTTCCTTTCCACGAACAAAATCACCAGCTGTTGCCAAGGTTGCGTAATCTGCATAGAGATCTGCCGTGGCATTCCAGTCTCCAGCATTAAAGTAATCAACATAATCTCTCAAGGCTTTCTCTAATTTCTTATTTGTCTTTGGATCTAAAAGGTAAAAACAAAACAAAGGTAAAAACAATACTATTGCAATTAAAGCTTCAGCTTGGACAAATGATCTTGTTTCCCAAGGCTAATGGCAGAGAAGAAAAGAAGTGAAGTTTCTGTGCACCAAATACAGAGTGTCCCTTATAAATGATGTATTATACAAATGAAATTTTAAAATGCTCATTCAGCCACAGATGGAAATAATGGTGTCAAACTCTGGTGATCAAAAACAAATTCAGTTTCGATGTGATTAATATAATTTTTGACCAATCTGCAATGATGATATGATTTAGTTACAGAGCATTAAAATAGATATGTGTCAATAAGCTCATAAAATACTGGGAAGTTTTTCCCCATACTTAACATGCCCTTTTTGAGTTGTCCTTGCAAGCCCAGCTTTGTGTTATTGCCATTGTATAACAGTTGTGACTTCACAAACAATAAAACATTTCTTAAATGCACTTTTAACATTTACATGTTAAATGCATTATATATTTAGTGTTGATGTTCAACATATCAGTTCAAATTAGAATGTGTTATATTTTTTTAAACTTTGTTCAGCCATTTAGATCGCCATACTCTTATTAATTAATATGTAAATGTCTATAAAATAGAATACTTACTACATGTAAATGCAGCTGTGGTGACACATATTGTAAAGATGATCAGAAAAATAAGTTTCAGCATTGTGATGTTGTTGTTGTCGGTAGCAGTCTCTTCAATATTTTAATTGTCATTTTATATCCATAAGACCATAAGACCAGCAATCCAGGATATTTATTAAAATAAAATAAACATATCATTTACAGAATAAACATAATGCAGTTTAATGGTAAAGTACTATATGATAAAACTGTCGCTGCGTTTGAATGGAATTAATCTTCATTATGGAAAAACTAGAAATAAACTATTTTTGATTAAAATTCTTCTGACATGAAATACAAATATGAATAATATGATCCAATAAGTGTATTTTTTGAAAACACATGTAAAGGCTCAGTGAAGTTCAATGGTAGGGTTGCTTTACACAGTGGTTTGTTCAGCGATATTTCAGTAATGAAAATGATAAATTCAAGGTTTTCAATTAAGCAGAAAGTAAAACATTTTAACCATAAATTTGAAGTACATGTACACTGTAAAACATTCTACTTTCTTTGGGGTTACTTTTCAAAATGTTAGTTTGTTCGTCATTAAGTGTAAATAGAAATAGAATCTGAAATTTTCTATTTTATTTATGAAATTATTGAAGTGTGTCACTTTCTCGTATTGTTTTATTGGCTCACACAGTGAGCCTATGGGATCGACCAGGCGTCTGTCCTTTGGTCCGTCCGTTGGTCTGTCCGTCCGTCCGTCCGTCCGTCAACATTGGCCGCACAAATTAAAACTGCTATTCGGATTGAGTCATATCCACATTCATTTTATGCATATCCATAATGCCTATTTGACGTATCATCGCCATTTCCCAAGTTCGCCCGGTTTCCGAGAAACATTTTCTGTAAATACTAGATACTTTGTTGAAGTAGAACTTTCAAATAACTTTTAGTAGTTGCTGTATATACAACTTATATCCTCTGAAGATATCAAAGCTCTTGGAATTACCGTTTTTGGTGTTTACTCTATAAAATTTGACAAAAAGTAGGCCTGTCATTTTCAGGAAACTTTCTCATGTACAAAGTCAATGGCAGGTTTTGTGATTGACAAGTTTCTCAAAGTTAGCCTTATAATTGATAATTTCTTGCAATGAATTACATCATTACTAGATTTAAGCATTCCCTACATATTGCTCAATATATGTCAGCATCAAATTTTTACCATTTTTGAGATATTTGACGTCAAGAAACAGTAAAAATAAGTTATTTTTCAACTTGCTTCAATTTGACCAAATTTTTTTTTGAAAATCATCTACAAGTTGCCAGGAGTTCAAATCTTACATTAGTTTTAGGATTTGACCTTTAGTTGACGTTCAGTGACCTTCGAAAGGTCAAAAAGTTGATTTTTCAAATTGATTTTTGGATGTAAATTTTGGTCAGCTTAATCACAAAAGACCTTACTGAGCTCTGAATAAGTAACATTTTCAAGGTCAAAGGTCATCAAACTAGGTCACACAACTGTGCTATCTAAGTTTCTCAAAGTTAGAGACTACAAATCCAAATCAATATTTTTGTTTGAAAGTCAGGATATACATTCCTCTGAAGGTTCCAAACTGTGTGAGCACAGGACCGTGGGTCCTTCATTGTTTGAAAGTCAGGATATACATTCCTCTGAAGGTTCCAAACTGTGTGAGCACAGGACCGTGGGTCCTTCATTGTTTGAAAGTCAGGATATACATTCCTCTGAAGGTTCCAAACTGTGTGAGCACAGGACCGTGGGTCCTTCATTCAATTCTGCAGCACTTTCATAACCCTGAAGACATTGGGTCATTGGTTTAATTGTGTCTGTTATGTATTAATATGTTTTTGAAAATAGCTATCCATCCCCAAAAGAAAACCCTCATATGTTGCAAATGTAATAAGGAAAATGAAAACAATCATAGAATAAAATGATCCACCCTATCCCACCCCTACCCTAAATGTAATAACTTGACTGTCATCTGTATTCTTAACTGACCTCGATTAAACATTATGTTTTTAGCAATTGTTTATTTTCAAGATATGTTTTTCATAAAAATTGCAAGAGCAGCTTACAAAAGTAAACAATATACGAGAAAAGGAGCGGTGAATGTCTATAAAAATCATATTTCCTATTTATTGTAACCCTTTTATCATCCATGGTCCAATGTGCAATTTAGATCAATGTTCATGTAGCTCCTTAGTCTACTGTCATTTTGAATCTGTTGCAAGATCTAAATTTTATTTTAGATACTTCTCCCTTACATGAGAGAATAGTTCTGGCTGTATTGCAAGATAATCTTTCAATATTTTATATGAGGTTGTCTTTTTGTCAAAAGTGCCATGTCGCATGTCCCCTTTAGAATCCAAACATTACTTGAGTAAAATCTGTTAAAATCCTTATTAGGAGGGTTCCTCGTCATTAATACTATTGTAACATTTTGAACCAGACTGACACGGTAGAAATTAGGCTATCAACACTGGAGTATATAAGCACAAATGCCAAAGAAAAGGGTGACTAAAAACTTTAAAGAAACCCAACAAGAAAAAGCAAACTGTAAGTGTAAATCTGTCAAAAGAAAAGTAGACCCTATATATCCCAAAACCATGATCTAACATGAAAAGAAACAATGTCTAACATCCCCCTCCCCCCTCCAATCGAGAACCAATATCACAATCCAGGACCAGAACATCAAGGGACATTTCATTCATACTGAAGTCATTACAATACATGTTGAAGAAAAATTGAAAAAATTGATAGCCAATACTCATAACATCAAGATACTAGTACTCATAAAAGATAGTATTCAGTCTCAAATGATGTGGGATAGATAAAATCCAGTCTCGAAGTCCATAGGCAATTCAAAGGGTCAATATCCGTTCGCAAAGCCGTCATCATAATCCATAAAACACAATAATTCACAATGGTCATCAGGAGAAAACTTTGGCTGGTTTCGATCTGGAAGATAGAAATAGCGCGGAAAATAGAAATAGCGTGGAATTGCATTTAAATAAATTATTATCCATATTTATAGATAAAAATGAATATGTTCCACGATCCTAATCTCTATTTTTTTTATTTTTTATTTTTATTGATTTCTCAATTCACCCCTTATAGGGTATAAGAGTACAAAAGACAAACTTAACTAATACAGTAACAAACATTAAAATAGCATTATATACATGAAAGAACATTTTTTTGCCCAGCCTCGATTAAAAATTTACAAAGTTTTATGAGTATATTTTTGTTTGAATTCATTAATTTCTCAAACTTCTGTGTGTTTGGCCTTGTGGTATAACATTTAGGAAGGTATCTTTTTCTAATATAACTTAAAGCTTTGCATTCTAAAATGACATGAAATTCATCACCTATTCCTTTACCACATAAATCACAAAACCTATTTTCCCTAGGAATATTTTTATAACGTCCTCTTTCAACTGGAAGTTTATTATTACACAATCTGTACATAATTAGAACTTTTCTATATTTATCTGGCATACAGTCTAAATACTGTTCAAATGAAAATTCTGTTTTAAATATTTTATAGTTGTAACTTTTACTACTGACTTTCATGTCACTATTCCACTTTTGTAAAAACTGATCTTGCATCCTTACTTTTACTTTTTTGATAAACTCTGCATAACTAACTGACTTTGGATTTATCCAAACATCTGACATGCCAAGATTGTTTAATGTGTTTTTCACATAAGTAAACCAATTTGAGGAAAATACATTTCTGTCATACATATTTTTACACAATTTGTACATTTTTTCACTCATCTTTAAACTGTCAGAGCTACTTGTTGCTAATTTATACCAAAATTTCAAGATACATGTGTTAGACTTTTTATATAGAGGGAATCTATCTAAGTTCCCCATAAACCATATAGTTTGGAGTTGTTTTCTTGACCTTAAGAATATATTTTAGAAATTTAAGATGTAGTTTTTCGATCAGTTTGTTATTTGTCATACCCCATATCTCGGCACCATACATTAATATTGGCAGAACTAGGGTGTCAAATAAATGCAACTGTGTTTTAAGAGGTAATGCAAATTTGTTACATCTACTAAGAACTGAAAACATTGCCTTTTCTGCTTGACTATACAAATGTTTCATATTTAAATTCAGACAACCTTTGCTATCAAAAAATACTCCTAAATATTTAAAGTGAGGTACATTTTCAACTACACTGCCATTAAGGGTAATGTTGTCAGTTCTTTTTAATTTTTTCCTACCGATGATCATATATTTTGTTTTGTCAGTATTAATTTTGATTTGCCATTCATCACAATACGTTTCTAGCGAAGAAAAGGCATCTTGTAGTTTATTTTTACCATTGGCAAAGATGACTGTGTCATCAGCATAGAGCAAGACAAATACTTTTAAATATCCATCTATTTCATTTCCAATATTAATCTGATTGCAATTATTTTTCAATAAATATTTCTCGACATCATTCAAATATAATGAATGCATCAGTGGAGAAATACTATCTCCCTGTCTCAATCCGCAGAGTACCTCGAAAAATTCAGACTGATTACGATATTTGTCAATAATACAGCTTTCATATTTTCATACATGTTTTGTACTAGTACTAAAAATTTCCCTTTTATCCCATACATTTTAATTAATTTTAGCCATAGTCCATCATGTCGTATTCGATCAAAAGATGAGGAATAATCAATGAAACCACAGTACAGCTCCTTCTTTGAGTGTAAAAATACATCAATCAGGCATTTTAGGACAAAAATGTGGTCAACAGTACTGTGTAATTTTCGGAAACCACATTGATTTTCATCTAGTAGTTGCAGGTCTTCTATAAAAGAGGTCAGTTTATTGTTCAGAATAGTAATGAATAACTTTCCAGCGCAACTTAGTAGAGTAATCCCTCTGTAGTTTTGGGGGTTGTTCTGGTCACCTTTGTTTTTATAGATAGCTTTAATAAGGCCTAGTAGCCAGTCTTGAGTAACCTCACCGGTATTCAATACTTTATTGAATAAATTCACCCATATGTCTATAAGAATGTTTTTGCTATATTTAATATATTCATTTAAAATGTTATCTATCCCACAGGCTTTACCATTTTTCAGTTTATTAATGGCTTGAAATACATCATCCCTTGTGATTTCACTGTTTAGAATATCTAAGTTAAGTTTGTGTGCAAAATCATCTTTATAATGTTTGTCAATTTCATTTTCACTCATGTTATTTCCACTGGTTTGGGGCTTATAAAGTGTTTCATAATATTCCTTCATAGTATCTAAACTTACTTTTAATAATTCGTCTTTAGATCTACTGGGATTTAAAATGTTCCAGTATTGTTTACTATTACTGCGTTTTAGGTCAAATAACTTAGAGTTGAGACGTTTTAAGTAATCACATTTTGCTTTAATGCGTTGTTTTTTATACTGTTTGTTTTTCCTAATCATATCTTCCTTATCTAGCATATTTCTCGTTCTCATGTATCTATTTTTTGCTGAATTGTATATTTTGCGTTTATTTTTACAACTATTGTCAAACCATTTGTTCTTTATTTCAGTTGCATTATTTTCATGGTTTACTTTGAAGCTTTTCTTTAAGTTCCAGCTTATAGCTGCATCTAAAATACACTCCTTTAGCTTCACGTTGATTCCTTCTACTGATGATCCCTCATCTTGTAGTAGGGAAGTTATTTCATCAATTTTTCTAAAGTCAAGATTTTGGCTAAAAGTCTGTGCTTCTTCTTGCTTCCAGATAAATTTACAACTATTTTTCTCATTGGTAATGTCATCTCTATCAGATTCATTGAAATTATCAGAGGTAGACTTTACTGTAAGGTTTAAAAAACAATGTACATCAGAAAAGTCAGGTGAAAAATCTTGGATATAAACAGAGTCAATATTACCTAATAATCGTGGAGATGCAATAGCATAGTCAGTAACTGAGCCTTTCCCTTTAACACATGTATTTAATTCACTACATTTACCAAATCTACCATTTGCAATGAACAAGTTATTTGCTTTACAGAGTTGCAGTAGTTGATTACCATAATTATTCACTCTGTGTGTGTCACATGGCATGATATTCTATCTGTTTTAATACCATAGCTTTCAAGGTCACCTACTGAATTAAGAAATTGTACCATTGATAAATCAGCATTCACCGAATTTGCAAAATGTTTATCAATATAAGTGTAGTCTTTTAACACACTTGTGTGTGAATTAAAGTCACCCAAAAGACATATTTCCTCATTATCGTTTTGATACATGTATGAGAGCATCTCTCTTTCAATTTCATCAAAAGATTCAACTTTGCTATATAAACTGCCCTCTGGAGGTACATAGACAGCACCAATGAGAACATTAAAACCACATATATTTTCATCAAGTCTTAACCAAAGAACATATTTACATTTTGTTTGAAATATCTTCAAAACTTTTTTGAATTTCCTTTTAACACATATTAAAATACCACCGGAATTTTTTATATTGAGTTTTTTTCTGTTCTTGGTAAACACAATATATCCAAGTTCTTCCAGGGTGTGGGTTATGTTGATTTCACTGATTTTATCTAGTTTTGTTTCAGTTACACAGATAATGTCATGTTTTAGCAACTCCTCTATGAAATCAGGATTGTCTAGTTTCGAGGACAGTCCACATACGTTGATGTGACTCAATCATAATTGAGACTGGGAAATGTCCTAGGCCCAAGAGTCACTATTTCCCCTTCCTCTTCCTCTCATTCCTCCCGAGTTTCTCCCTCTTCCTCTGGTTGGTCTCACATCATTCCAGTTTCTATTACTACGGCTAGAATTGGCATATTCCCCACCATCTTGGTCACTGTATTTGTTGGAATCAGTCATCGCATTCCCATTCTGGTGATATGTTGCATTGTATCCTTTCTTTATCAAGCGTCCACTTCCAGTGAATTGATAGTCAGCACCATTTGGTATATTCTTTAATATTTCTTTACAGTTCAGTTCTATAAGGCGTTCTTCATGGGTTTTCGCACTTCTGATGAATACGTCTTTAAATCTTTCTGTGTCTTTAAGTTTCATTTTGTTCCTCAGTAGGTCAATTTTACTTTCTCTTGATGACACCTGCAATTTTACGATCCCAGGGTGACCATTCCTTTCCTTGGTACGTTCGACATTTTTAATGATTGCAGTGTCCATCTTTAGTCCATGTCGCAAAAGGGTACACATTTTCTCTTTTACATTCTCATTAGTGTGAAATGGGACATTTGATACTATTACTGTACTGTCTGTGTCAAATGGCGCAGCTGGAGAACTCTGTTTACGTATGTCATCTAATTGTTTATTAACAGTGAATTCAAATCTTTGGATGCCATGTTTTATACCATCAAGTTCTGCTTCTACTTTAGCATTCATCATTCCTTCAAACTTTGCTAATGATCCTTCTATGGCCTGACGAGCTTTAGCTATTTCAGTCTGAATTTCACCTCGGATTGAATTTCGAATTTCTTCCTTTATAACTGATCTTATATCCTCAGTTATATCCTTCAGGATTTCCTCCTTCATGTTGAAATAGCTGGTACTGGTAGTTGCAGGGGGTTTAGGGGGACCACCGAAAAGATCAGGGATGGGGGACTTAGGCCTACTGGGAGTTGGTGTGGGGGATCGTGTTGTTTTATCTGCAGTCCCAATAGCATTTCCTTGACTATCATCAGAAGCCTCAAAATCACTTTCGATGTCAGCTGCTCCATCAACCTCTTTTGGGCAAGGAGAGTTATTAGGCTTAGTCAGGGGATTCTTTTTCTTTCTCCTAGTGGACTTGGATTTAACCTTCTGGGCCTTTTGAGAGTTTGCCATTCTTTGATACTGATAGTCTAGCTCTTAACATTCACTAAAGATGTCATCATGATAATTTCAGCTATTTTGGATATTTTCCAAGGGGTCTTTATGCAAATGAGCTATTATTTTCATCTGGACAATAGCAACACACATTTGTTTACTAGCAACCAAAGATTTTGTTGATAGCAACCATCATTTGTTTATAGCAACCCATGACTCCACGTTTTGTGGTTCTATGGTGATTATTATATATGCTGACATATATGTTATTTATTTATTGTACCAATAATCCCTTTAAGGGCAAATGTACAAAAGAAGAGAGAAAAAAACTTACATAGACATAATAACGTACAAGTAGAAAAGTACATAAATACAGATGTATATATATATTTAACTGGATCACGTCGTTACTGGGCGAGTCTGTCTGAAATCTACCTACTGAGCAAAGTACTCCTTATAGAGAATAATTCATTTACCATGTTAGAAAAGATGCTGCAATATTGCTCCTCAGCATTAAATAAGAAAGCTAGTAAATCCATATCTGATAGCGATCCGATATTAGGACATTTGGTATAAAGCAAGTCTAAATATTTATTTGTGATATGTTTGAGCTCATTACACTTGAGCAAACAATGTTCTTCGGTCTCCTGTGCCTTTTTACATAGTTTACAAATTCTGAGTTCGGGTGGAAGATGTGGTCTTTTATATCTACCCACCTCGACTTCAAGCTTGTGACTGCTAATTCTAAGCGATGTTAAATTGCGGCGGGCATCTTTATTCTTAATATGGTCAAGATAATTTTCATAATGAAATGAAAATTTAATTTGTTTATAAAACCTTAATTTGCCATTGGTATCTCTTAGCATGTTTTCAAAGTATTGTTCGTATCTTTCTTTAAGCCTAGAT